AAGTTGCAAATTTTATGAAATGACATGTTAGCGAAGTGCAAACCGCGATTTTTTAATCAAACAAAAATTTATGACATTCGAGCCGCGAGATTTCATACCTACTGAAATTATATGATATTAGAGCTGCGATATTTCAGACAAAAATAGGACTTTTCCAGACTAGGCCCGCTGGCAGAGTTCTGTATCTAAGGAAAGCTTTTCACCTTGGGTGGAAAGCATTTTTATAAGTGAACTTTCATTCTTAGAATTTCACCCTGTTGACAGAGTGACAGTTGCCTACATTGGGGAATGGGGACCGGGAGCACACATCAACAGTTTGAGGTTTGACAACTGCAGAAGGCAGGATTGACCTTCTCAAGCACAATGCACATGGTGTCTTCAAACAGGGGTGCATCCAGAATCCAGATCCTTCTTGCAGACTTTCTATTGCGCCTATATCAGAGCAAAACTTGACTTGATTACGGCTCCATCCTGTATCAGTCTGCCTCTCATTCACTGCTCACTAGAGACTAGTCACTAAGCTGGATGTGCTGCAGAATGCCTGCCTGCACCTAATCTTGGGGCCTGGGGGCATGACTGCCATGACGTACAAGTTTACAACTCCAATCATACCTCTGTACAATCATATCTACAATCATATCTCCAATCATATCATATCTCCAATCATATCATATCTCCAATCATATCATATCTCCAATCATATCATATCTCCAATCACTGGGCCTATACTTTCAAAAAAAGTTAAGAGATTGTAAGTTCATCAGCCAATCATTGAAGGCCTTTCAAGCAAAATCCACAATTGCAGACAAGAAAATAGAGCGTAAGTACTTGGATTTGAATTTTGAAAGTATAGGCCCTGACCGCTTCACTAATGCAGTTCCCTCAGCCAAGAGTAAACTCCACTCTGTGCATGGCCGTCAGCCTGTCGGCAATCTTTGCTTTTATGAACACTTCCGCCATTGGACCGCCAAGTACCTGTGCCTGTGGTGGTCTCGGTTCCTCTGTGGGAAACTATGGATAACAACATTAAAGCAGTATGGATTCAGCCTTGGGAGAGGATGCTATACAGCTATACTTCACTGTTACTAATGTGTAGTTGATAGCAGTTGTTAATTTGGTGCCTCCAAAATCACATGCTACAGCTAAATTTGGAATTTTGCTGCATTATTGTATTTGTGTACTTTTTTCAAAAATTAGATTGATATAATTTGTATTTTCAGAAAGCTAAGCATAAGTTAGTTAGGAAACTGTCAGTCACTGTTTCTTTGTTGACTACATAAACTGACAAAATTGACCAGGCAGGCTGAAACCTAATCAAGTTAATATTGTATTTAAAATAGGCCTAACATTTCATTTTCACAGGTTAGGTAATATATTTGCTAGTATAAGGTGGCTACAAACTCTCTGGCCACCACGGATCTTTATTGCAGATTAAAGAATAAACTTTTTAATAAATAGTTAGCACCAAAGAGATTAAACCAGCAACATCAACATCATGCAGGTAATTTTTTTTTGTTTTTTTTTGTGTTTATAATAATCACTTTGGTCACTGATACTTTTACTCAAAGATGTTATGAAATGGCCAGGCCAAAATTGTAACCATTTTTACAACACTTCTCTTTAACTTCACTTCTTGTTTGTCTATTTGTCTGTCTGCTACAAATCTTGTGATCAAAATTTAATACACTTCTACTTATCCTATTGATCTGAAAATTTGCACACTTGCGTAAAGTTGGAGACAATGCATGAATCAAATGACAAAATGGATTATTTTGAAAAAAAAAGGAAAGAATAATTTTGTCACCTACAAATCTTATACGGTATATAATGGATATTTGACACACTTTTACCTGTCCAATTGATATGAAATTTTGCACACTTGTGTGAAGTTAGAAACAATGCATGAATCAATTGACAGAACAAAAAATTATTTTGAAAAAAAAAATTCTACGTATATTAAAATTGAAGAATGAATTTTTTTTAATATTTGAAAATAAAATTAGAAATTCATTGCACATCTGTAACATTGAAAACACTGGATTCTTTAGAAGTGTTGTCTTGAAAAAGTATGGTAATTTTTATACTAATTTTTAAACCCATATTATTTCTTTTCTACTCCTATTGAAGAGCAACTTTCTAATTTGCTGCAACTAGCATTAACATTAGGCAATTGTTCAATCTCCAAATTTTCTAATGACTTCTTGGCTGTATGTTGTGTTGATATTTACAGATGTTAATGAACTTAATATGATTTTTGACGTATTTAGTATACGAAAATAAGGAAAATTCCATTAATATTCTATCCAATATTTACAAATTTCAGAGAGAAGATCGGCTTCTAGAGGTGACAGTGGACACTGTGGTCCAGAGAGTCACAGATCTGAAGCAATCCTTGGGGCTGCTGCTGCAGAAACTTGAACACGAGGGAGAGTCTGCAGACTGGCCTGATTATCTGCAGCAATATTCTGTGATATCTGGCCAGGTGATCATACTAAACTATGGGAGTTAGTGAGGTTGTCTTGGTAGACCTGCAAATTGCATAAAATTAACCTTGTTCTAATAATTAACCTTAGTTGAGTGAAGTGCTGGGAGATTCTAAACATCTTGTTTAATTGCTATAAGAAAATTTCCTGCAGATATTGAAAATGTTTTTTATTTTCAATGCTATCTTGTTTTATCCACAAACCTGAAATTAAAGAAATACAGAAAATGTTAGTCATTCCAGTATTGTGTTTGCTTTTTGGGAAGAGCTTATATTAATGAGTAGGTATTATTTTATTTTCTGCCCTGCAATGGTTGAAAAAATTATTTATAATAATGTTTTTTATTGTTTTAATTTAAAATTACTATGGTTTTAATTCCTAGCTGCTTGGTATGCATCATGTAGGTATATACTAGCTACATTGAATTTGCCAGGTGAATAGTGACCTAATTATGTTGAAACTTGGATCCCAATTCCTTTACAATTTCTCAATATGTCAACAGTTTGAAATAATGTTTGAAGTTTACCATGGAAATAGTGAAAAGTTCAATTAAAATTTTCAAATTTTTTATTATATTACATTACATAATTATAACTATTTTCTGCCCAAAATCAGGAGTATAAAATATTGGAGCAAATTAATTTCCTTAATGAATTAATTTCCTAATTAATAATTAATTAATTTAATACCCACTCCTTTGACATTCATGACTCTAGAACAGTGTTTGTAATTTACCAATTTCTAAATAAGGGAATAATATATGTGTGTCTATTTTACAGATGATAACTTTGCTGAAAGTATTACGCAATGAGAAGACTCCTGTGCTGCGAAATTACCTGACACTGCCACTACAGCTCAATGCTGACCCAGATGAAGCACTTTTGCGGAGCACAGAGAACAGAGTGCCGGCTTTCAGTCATGACTTTGTTCCGGATTTGCTGCGTACAAAACCCGACCCAGAGCTCGAGATGAAGTTCCACACACTCAATGCGAAAATGAATATCATGAACTCTGATACTTCATCGGTATGTTGACTGGTAATTTGTGATTCTTGTAAGCTACAATAACTGAAGGGTCTTACAATGTTCTATGACTATACATTGTAGAACACCTACAGAACCTTGCACAAAATGCAGACCTAAGCTAAACACATTAAGAGCTCTCATAGGAACAACATTCTGACAACAAAAAATCCCTCACGCTAGTGTACAAGCAATATATACAATACGCTCCTTGCTGGACCATGCCAGTCAAGCCTGGACACCCATAATTTCACCCACACTCCACAACCACATACAAACCATACAAACACAGCACTCAGAACCGCACTCGGCAGCACCCAAACTACACCATCTAATCACGATCATGAAGAAACCGAAGTCCTCCTTATGAAAGAACACCTAAATATGAAAGGCACCCAATTCCTTGCATCAGTGCTCCACAACCCTCTCTGCCCCTTCCATCACTTTCAGTACCTACCCCCAACACCTAAACAAATAGCTAACACTCCATATAACTACTACCTTGCACTCCATACCACAGCCAACCTCGCCAAACATATACACTCGCATCGAACCCAGAATGTACTCTCGAATCCACCAATCAATAACATAATAATGACACACTGCCAGACATGAGCCATACAAAACAGCAGTTGAACCGTGCAGACAGTGTGCACCTCAGCAGACTCCGCTGTGGCCAGCATCCCTCACTATACGCCTACAAACACTGCGTAGACAACACCCACTTGGAACTGTGCCTCCAATGTCTTACACTGCCCCACACCATCAATCACATTGTGCCTAAATAAGTTGAACTTTGAGGGCTGGCTTATTTCCAGCATGACACGGGCGTCCTGACATGACCATTTACCTGGGATCATCAACAACAACAAAGTTATATTATTGGGAACTTGAATTACAAATTAAAGATGAGCATTTAGATGGAGAAGCAGTTACGTTTCCTGGTAGTGCTGGAATATATTTGTTCTTTTCCCATCATGAATTTGCTCATCTTGGTTTCCATGAATTTGTTCATCTGGGTCTATACTTTAATACAAAATATTTCTTCATTTTAATGTATGCCAGCCTTGGTGAACGTATTCCAAGACTTGGCATTATGACACTGCTTATTTTCGCTTATTTTCGAGTTGCTGTTTTTTACTTCATGGATAATCGATTGTCTTTTAACTAATTATTTCAGGCTATTATTTATATTTGCTTCTTGTTTCTAGATTTTATCTTCAGATAATTTCAATACAGATGGAAAAATTGGTTATGGATTCAAAGTTTTTTCTGTACAAATTGTTAATTTATAACCTATATTGTCATAGTGTTTCATTACATCTCATGATGACATATTGTGGATGTCGACACATAGGGATGTCTCTGACAGCCACATGACTTTAACTTATACAAATAGTTGATCTACTCAACAAAATTCATGATCTCACTCAATAATTTTCTCCAACTTGCAGAAACAAATCAACCAGCACAACAAAGTGGTGAAACACATCGTTGAGATGGTTTCTTCTGCCCGCGATGAGTGGGAGACGGAGACCTCAAGGTCTAGTTTACCACAGACTTGTTCCATTAATGAGACCCACAGCTTGCTTGCTGCCATCGGTACTGGCAAGGGCCTNCTGAGTGAGAATAACGTAATCCCCAGCAACACCAAGGTGACTTAATTACCGTAACTCACATCTGCTTAGTGAGAATAACGTAATCCCCAGCAACACCAAGGTGATTTAATTACCATAACTCACATATGCTGAGTGAGAATAACGTAATCCTTAGCAACACCAAGGTGATTTAATTACTGTAACTCACATATGCTGAGTGAGAATAACGTAATCCCCAGCAACACCAAGGTGATTTAATTACTGTAACTCACATATGCTGAGTGAGAATAACGTAATCAAGTAAATATTTTGTTTTAGAGGTATTTTCTACAGAGATTGTCAGTTATTAATCATATACCTTACTACTAGTTTTTTTGTAATTTATTCCTGTCTGCGAGATTATATTGATATTCATATAAGGGTGCTCCTATAACAACGCAATATTTGTTCACAAAACGCCTGAAATTTCAATAAAAAAAATTTAATTATCAGAAACATTCCTGCCTGCAAATGTTTATAGGAGTATTACTAGAAGAAAATATCATTTTGAAACTAATTTAGTTATTGAGTTTACGTGTAAAATGAAATAAATAATTGCGGGATGAATACTATAAAATGTTATAAACAGATTTAAATAATTAAGGCTGATAGTAATAGCGTTAAATCGTTGTAAATATATTTTTTTTCCCACAGTTGGCAAGGCGCCCAGCTCCATCAAGACCAACATCAAAGCTGCCGGCCAGATGCACCCCTACAGGCAGTGAGGCTCTCAGTCGGTAAGTTCAAGGTTTTATTTTCTTCTGTTCAAATATAAATCCTTGCAAAATAATGATGCATTTACCAGTTGATCGATTTTTTCTTCTGTTCATACATTATATAGCAGGTGGCTTGGAAATGTCTCCAAGTTGAAGTTTTTTCGTTGCCTCTAGGCAGATATAAACTATTATTAACATAGAAATTTATTATCTGACGTTTAAGTGGGTGAAAGGAGAGAGTATTACAAAGAAATTTGACATGTATATATCCTACAAGAACTTGATTGTACTTCATAAGGTACACACAGATGCACAAACTCTTATTATTAAAGTTTACTAATTATATAATTTAAATAAGTTATTTACACTAAAAAAAATTCCGGCTCAAAAATGCAACAGCTTATTGCATGCTACAATTTATCTATAGTTGTAATATTTAGCTAGATTTTGATTTCTTGCTAAAATATTTTGTAAAACTCTAATTATATATCAATTTCGTTCTTTTCACATGTACGAAATCTCAATTGAAGCAGTAACAAATTTTTTAAATTGGAATTCCTCTGCCTTGGTTCTTTAAAAATATGTTGTAGTACCTACTATTGAATTAGTTGTGTAAGATTCAGACGAATTAATGCTTTTGAATAATCGTTGTTTTTGGCATAGATGTTGAATACTGCATTGGATTGTTCAACATCGGAACTCTAGACTACAAATAACAATTATTTATGAGTTTTAACTTACATGTAAAGCGCTTTGGGGGCACCAATTGAAGACCAGCTGGGCACTCGTATCACTGTTCAATAAATTCAACCTGCTGGTCTATTTCAGCACTAAGTATTTGCATGCTTGTTTTATTATTTGCAACAATTGGACGTAAAGTTTATACTTTTATCTCTTGTATAAGTATTTCATTCACTTGGGCCATTATTTCACTCAGAAATTTGGCTGCACTTGTGGTATTGGCAATCCTTCAAATGATCTTCAAGTTTTCTTTGTCATCCATAAAAACTTTAAATCGACTAATTAATAATGAAATTAATTTTTATTTCCAATAAACGTGCAATGTAATATTTTTTAAGCCTAAGCTAGTTTGATGTTTAGTTTTTGTGTACTGTATCTGCACTCGAGCTTAAACTTCGTATTAGGCTTCGTACTGGCCTTGCGCTCTGAGTCGAGCGGTTAAAGCTATCTATTTCAACACTAAAATGTCCCGATGTTTGTCTGAACTGCTTATTATTCTCCTGCGATTCCTTTACAAGGCCCAAGAAATCATCCTCATCTCCGTAGGGTAAAAGCAAAGGTACTTGCCTGCTCTTACCCAAAGCTTTCAGGACGATTTTTGCGTTTGGATTGTATAGAGTTTTCCGCTCGGCTGATTCTTTGGAACTTTCTGGCTCAAGTTCGTAGTGGTAAAGCCTAAGTTGAGATTGCGATTCATCTGAGGCACCAGGCAGGAGAGGCGGATAGCGAGGCTGTGGAACTTTCCACCTCCCTTCTTGTTCTGCGGAAGCGATCACAGAATGTCGGATGTTTTTCTCTTCTGTTGAAACGAACGGTTGGATTGTGGTACGGAATGACCTGTCTTTGGACGAATGGTGAGCGTGCGTAGGCGCTCTAGGTGGGAAAATAGGAACATGTGAATCAAATTTGTGTTGTGCCGTAAAAGGAACTGAGGTGCGGATATCTGATGAGTAACTGGCTGGTGGAATGGGTGTGATGTTGAGTATCATTTCTTTTTTTAATGGAACATCGAAGAATAAATTAGAGGCGGGCGTAGTAAATTTGAAGGGTGTGATAATAGATGTTACTGGGTCCGGTAATGGTTGCTGACGTGATAACACAGCTTTCACTTCCGTGGATGGTCGTTCTTGAGTTGCTGGCTGTACGTTAGTCAATTGTTCTTTGAAATAAAAAGAGCTGTCTTGTTCGTCCAGTGGATGATGCCTTGCATCGGGCGGACTGCCCGATTCTATGCGCTTCCGTGGTGCCTCAGCCTCCGGCCGAGGATTTTGAACCGGAATGACCCTACCTCTTGATGTCGTTCGCGAACGAACGCTTTTTTGTGATCCTAAAATTGTTACTCTGAATGGGTTAGGCGAAACTGTTGTGACTGGCACACGCTCTCTGAAATCAATTCGTCCTTTTTTGGGCAGCCGGGAATTTTTAATTTTGTGAGCTTGGATGCTCGTTGGCTGCGCGGTTGGTGGAAATTCTGCATCATTCGGAACGATTTGGTGGCGGCTAGGTTGAGTTTGAGCCAATGGATTCCGTTGTGTTGTACTTTGTGGTAACTTAAGTTCATTGATTGGAGTTGTCACTGGTATTGTATTTAGGGGCTCTGTCGAAGGGAAGTTGATTCCAGGATAAAACGGAATGTCGTGCGGATGATGGATAGAAATTTTGACTGGTGCTGGTTTAATCGGATTGTGTTTCTTGTTCTGGACTTGGTCATTGATGCCTGTAATGAAACCTTCCAGAAAATTCTTCGTCGGTCTTTGGTTAAACACAGGAATAGGAGTTGGCTGAGGAAGCTTTTCCTCTGATTGAATTTCAATGTGAAAATCGTTGTTTGTTATCACTGGAATTGTGTTTGGATCGTCATTATCGATGTGACCGTCTCTGGGTGGCGGTATATGAGAAGTCGATTGAATTCTTACTGGTTTGTTGGGATGATGTGTTGGGGCTTTGTTGAGTGGATCTTTTGATGCTTGATTCCTCTCGTGTGAAACTGAATGAAGATTTATGTGAGGTTCGGTTAACGGCCTAGGATGTAATATCTCTTGCGCAGCACCAATCAAACTTGGTATTGCGCTTTGTGTCGGGTGTTGGGACGGTGCAACTGTAGTTAAGGAATGGCCTGTTATACGGTTCCTGAGCGTTAGTCTTTGTTGATTGAAATGAGGTTGGGAAGAAGTAGCTTGGGCTGGCCAAGACGTCGTGGCAATTGGCGGCAACGCTGTCGACGTACCGATAGAGTTGATGTGTTCGTACGTCACTTCAGCCCTGAATCCTCCGTCGTCTGCGATGTACGTCACCGTCTGTATGCGACCATCCGGTAGCGCCACCTGCGTGAGACACACAGTATCCTGCAGTATGGATTGGATTCATAGTTACAATAAAATTACACACGCTGATTTTTTCTAAAATTTCAACGTGGATGCATGCGCTGTTAATTTAAATTTTAAAGGAAAGTTTACATATTTCCACAATTAACGTGAAAGTGCTGTGAACCACTACGTATACCTACGGTACTCATTTGTCTCGGCTCTGGATTGAATTACCTTGTAAGACCCCTTGACTTTCTTGCCGTCCCTTTGCTCGTCGCGCTGCTGGAAGTTGCCCGTGTCTGCAGAGGCCACTTTGTACCCGTACTGCACTGGCTCACCGCGCTCGTCCTGCTCGGGCAACCGCAAAAAATTATTGGACAAGTTTCTTTAGTGAATTCAGTGAATCAGCATTAATAGTATTATAATTTCAGTGTCACGATCAGCCTCAATTATGGGATATGTAAACATGACATTGATATTTGTTCATCAACCGAGAACCGAGATAATAGGCATGCTCACCTCTTGATGTTTAATATAATTGTCATTGTCTTCTAGATAATCTTCGTGACTGTATGTATAATCAGCGTAGTCATACTCTTCGTGCAATATCCCCGCGTCATCCGAATCTAACGTGCCTCTGTGTTCTTCTTGACTTGCTTCTGCTCCGGCACTAAATTCTTCTGCCAAAAAATATGGCGGCACGGGACTGGTTATGCCATTACTTTGTATCGTCGGAGCAGATGGGCGGTAAGAGGGGACGTGTGGAACGAGAGGGTTGGTAAATGTTACCAAGTTCCCAGGGTGAACCAAACCTGGTTCAATAAACGGACGTGGGACCTCAAGCCTAGGAGGCACGTGGTGAAGTTCCGGAAGAGGAGAGATCGGGACCGGAAGAGGTGAAATCGGGATAGGTATCGGGTTGAGAGGTTGTTGGTTCCTTAAGTCGCCCATTCCTAGGACAAACACAGGACTGATTGATGTTGGGAAAACTGGATTATAAGGATTTATCGCTGATGGATGAACGATTTGAGGTGTTGGTGTACGTGTCCTCCCGAATACCGGATAATTATATGACGAGAAAAGATTCTTTCCTGCATTTTCCGAGCTGTTTTTATGCACTCTTTCTTTACTGTCTTCTACAATTTGAACCTCATCACTCGTAGTTGTGCCAGGCGTAGTAGTCTTGTTAGACAAAGGGATCTTTCGTGTTATTTTCTTTGGCTTCGTGGTATAACGTGGCTGGCTTGGTGCTGGATCGTATAAGTCGTCGTAACTAAGATATTCTTTTGACGTTTTTCCATCTGATAAGTTGTGTGAATCGATAACACTTGTGATGCTCTCGTGTTCTGTTTTGGCTTCGATCTTGAAGGGAACCGGACGATGCTGCTTCTCGGTCAGTTCTTTCGAAGCTTGGTGTGTGGATGACGGATCTTCCTCTTCATAGTGGAATTGGTTTTCGGACTTGATAAAAGAAATGTCATCGGCTTGTTTACTACCAGGGTGAATTGCCAATCGGGGTTTTTCTTTTGTCAAACTACTTCCCCATCTGTAGAGGAAGTTGAAAAGAGGTTTCTCATCTGTGTAAGACAAGTAATTTCCACCAGCTCGTCGTAATTATTCGCATAACAATCACTTATCGTGTTATCAAAATTTTTATAAGGAATTTTACCTGTATAGATTATTCTTAATAAACATTTTTGCAAGTTTGATGAATTAATTTGAAAATATTTTCAAATAAAATGTGCAGGTCATTCTTAAAAAGATTTTCCTATATGTTAGGTGAAATAATATTCAAATACATTAAAGCTTACCTCGTACTAAGTTCGTCCATTTCACCCTCTGTTGCTGGAGCGTTGATTGTGGAGGCGTTACCATGCTATGGAATATGAACGTCAGACGTTCTATTATAGGTTATATTGCTGATGATATATTTCTCCGTACTCTTTACAATGGAAATGCAATCGTGCAGTCAGTATTTTGTTCAACTTATCGGATAACCGATCTAAAAAATGGAAGGGTATTCATTTTGTCTGTTGTCCCTTCATATTTTTCTCTTCGACTATAACAAATGTATGCATCGGTAACTTTATTTTATTATGAAAATCATGTTTAAATCAGAATAATGCTCAAATCGAAATCATGCTTGAATAAATAATAAATTTTACTATACAATACCTGTTTATTGTGCTGACGCCTCGCTCGAAGCCTCGCACTTCTCTGCAAGATGGATTTTCTAAGCTCAGGCGTAAGTCTCGATCTCAGTTTTTTGCGGACATCGGCGTCGGACAATTTCGGTCGAGCGTCCGTACCCGAATTTCCTGCAGTGACTGATTCTACTACGTTGGTACCTGCAGCTTTCTGATGATTTGCCCGGGTTTCGGAAAGTTGATAGTTGTCTGCTGCATCATGATTGTCTGGGAGTGAAGTGATATTCTTGGAATATTGAATAGTTTCTTGATAATCAGATCTGGGTCCGTTTCTTATTTCGTCGTTCGTTTGCCGGGCGTCTGTTGAGGACGCACCGACGTACTTTTCGATATCTGACTCGTCGCTTTCTTCATTTTTCATCGTTGATTCATGGACTCTTTTATAAGCATAATCTCTTTGTGAACTTGAGGTAGTTGACGACACAATTGCAATAAGCCCTTCTTTGTCTTGTTCGTATATTGGGAATAAATCAAGATTTGTAGATTCTTTTGATTGTGAGTTAGATTTTACGAAGTCATCCAATTTCAATTTCAAAGTGTCTTGATTGCTTCCTGAATAATTACTGCGCAATCGATTACTATCATTGCCATGATGTAATGTCAATTTCTTCACGTCATTCACTTTTGGCTGCTCGAATTTCCTTTCAAGGCTTTCTTTTGATTTTGAGCCATTTTGAGATCCAATTCTGGTTTTTGGTGTTAGTCGTCTGAGCCTCAAGTTTCGGGCATTCTCATCGAGTTTTTCTTTTGTAATTTCTCTTGGAGTCATCATCACATAGGAACTTTGATTTCTAGTTGACGAAGTGACTTTTCTCTCCTGTAGTGGAGTTTCTACCGAACCATTTGTACTGTTGTTCTCTGTAGCAGTGTTGTGTTTGTCGATATGTTTTTCTGCGTCGGTTTTGGTTTTATTTTCGAGCTTTTCGTCGTAGGCTGGTGTGGTCAGTGAAGCATGTGGTTTTAAATCATATTTTGAAAGAATGCTTTGTAGTCTTTCTTCGTTTCCCTTAGCATTCATCAATGACGCTTCAATTCCATCAATTTTTCTTTTCGACGTAAGTTTTCTTCTTGTTTTTCTACGCTTGGAATTTATGAAAGTAGAAGTTTCCTTTTCCTCAGTAGGTTCAATATTATCTTCTCGATGTGATGTTTTGCTGGAAGTTAATTCATCAGTGTCGTTAACATATACAGATTCCTTGCTAATGGTATAAGTTTCCGTTGTTGTTGAATCACTCGTCTTGATCATTCCCAAGTTTAAAATTTCTGCACTGCCTGGGTTTTCATGTCCCTCCATTTTTCCCCGAGAAACTTGCTCTCTAAACGAAAGCTGTCGGTCTTGAACGCTATCACTCTGTGAAATTAAATGATTTTTTGGCAAGGTGGTTGTGTCATTTTCTTCATATTTCAAACGCCTGCTCAACCTTGCTGCTTCCATCAGCCTGAAGACCGCCTCGGGGTCGTAGCTTCCCTCTTCGTCTGATTCCAACATTTCAGACGCTACGGTTTCTGCAACAGCGCTTGACCGCACCTAGAAGAATAAGTAGAAATATTAATCTATATGCAAAGATTATGCTGATATCAAAAATTCACGAATTGTTATACTATGCTCAATGCGCGCTATGTAATTGCCTGCCCTATCACCATGTGATGCCTGCCCTAATTAGCATTCCTTTAGCGCACAAGCTTCTGGAAGTTTGCATGCCGCAGCTCTTGCGTAAACAGAGCTCATACCATAAATGTACAAAATGAATTATATTAGTCATTTGACCTAAAAATGAATTAAAACTGTGAATCCGTACCAGTGTCCAAGCGGAACTAAAGGAAAGGTCGGAAGGAAATTTTGAGAGGAGTGACGTACAATACGATTAAATTAATGTCAGTGATGAATCCTAGTTTTAATTGTTCGGTTTCGATGAAAACAGTGTTTTTTGATAATCTTGTATGTTCGTCTGGGAGCATAATTTCCTCGGTTGAATTAATACATGATCATTTCTTCCTCTGCGCAGATCAACGACTATTATTGGTGTAATTCGGGCACAGGCACCAACGACTGCAACATCAATTGTGATAGTGAGAAATTTTTTGCATAATTATTCATTTAGTTGCTATCTGTTAGTGAATTAAAAATTACGAATGGGCCCAATAAGAAAATCGTAGCTTTACTCAAGTTTTTTAAAACACAAAAGTAAATAAACTACAAATTTTTCTCGTGCAAATACTTCTCATGGAAGCCCATGATTATTTTAATTTATTGAATTGGTTTCCACATTCAAAACTGTAACTAATTGATTTTTAATTCGTTTACGTTGCTTAGAACATGTTTTTCGAATTTCAGAACTGAAGGACAACGATATTGCGGACGACGTCAAATGCGCCAAGAAGATTTTTGCGCGCCACGGCTTCAACGACGCCTGGAACGGCTGGAAGAACAACTGTAAAGGCAAGAACTTGTCCTCCTACACCAGTGGCTGCAACCTAACTTGCTGAGCGCCCCTGCTTCGTAAACTGATGGATCTTCCTGCGCGATGATCGGCATTTAATGATTTAGTTCAATTTATTTAACATATTTATTCCAATTATAATTGTGTGCATTCTGCCTCTACAGCGCATGCTCAATGCGCTAACTTGACATTTTAACGCTATTTGATCATATTTATTTGTCCCAATATTGACTGATTTATGAATTGCTCTGTAATCTCTATATCATATGTGTTTTTGTATCATAATATAAACCCAGGGGGGTAAAATATGCCTTTTATTGTCCTTGTTATTCCTTATTATTAAAAAAGTTTTAAGTATCTCTCATTAGACAGTATATTACTTTAAATTTAATTGCCTTTCTGCGTTACATTACACCCACATCCGCATTGCTTTAAATTTGAAAGCTCTATATTACAACGATTCTATCAAGCATGGGTTGAGACCTTATCCATTTTGCATTTTTCAAAGTCACATTCACGCTTCATTCCCTCATAGCTTTTAAACTGATATAGTCATAGAGAAACTATTTGTTATCAATAGCGACGATTTAAACTTAGTTTTCCAGCAATTTTTTGAGCATATTCTCCAGCTGTGCGGAATATGACAATCGCGGCCGTCTGTAACGAAGATTTCAGTGGAAGGTTTTGATCCGGGCATAAGGTATTGATAAGAATTCGCTACGTGGGATTATCCTCGAAAGTGACGGGCATAACCTGCACCTGTTGGACCTGTGTTGCTGTAAAGAGTACTCCGTAGTCACAGCACTGGTGTTAGGTTTCAGAAAGCATAATTCTGTTCCAAAATCTATCGTCCTTCGACGAGCGACTTATACAGCTTCGCTAAATTACGTAACTTTTAGCGCACAGCATCTGAGGTTAGGTTTCAGATAACATAGTTCTGTTCCAAAATTTATCGTCGTGCGACACGTGGCCGTTCGACCGTAGGCTGATTCGACACACGGGACAGATACGGACGGCTCCGGCGCGCTCCGTCCGGGTGGTGTAAAATTTTTTCGCGTATTGGCAGACGACGCTGGGCCATTCGACGTCAGGCTTATTTTCCTGTGGGCTGATTGGTCTAATTCAATGGATGTGATCTGTCTGGTGGCATGCGGCTGATGATGTTACAGTCAAGAAGTGTTTTAGGCTACGTTCTTCAGGGAAGGGATCATGATAGTCCATTCGAAGCAAGGCAGTGGTGGTCTCCGACAGGCATCCCGTGGTCTCCGACAGGCGTCCCCCAGCCCAGTGGGGTTAGGTTTCAGATAGCATAGTTCTGTACCGTCCTATATACGACGGGTGGCCGTTCGACCGGGGACTATACTATACTATACAGCTATACTTCACGGTTACTAATGTGTAGTTGATAGCAGTTGTTAATTTGGTGCCTCCAAAATCACATGCTACAGCTAAATTTGGAATTTTGCTGCATTATTGTATTTG